TGTCACATTATTTTGATGTTGTTTGAAATGAGTTATTTACACATCTAGCTGACATAGAGTGAATTAACTGGTCAATCAGAGTCATATGTCTGGTCATCTGAAAGTCCAATATTTATTTTTCTATTTGCTCTGTTTTGGTCTGCACCATCTTCTGAGAGACAATGGAAAATGCTGTCAAAAGTCCCTCACCTGTAATATCTGATCCCCGGCCAGCAGCCTCCCGTCTCGTGCGATGACCCCGTCTCTGTACACCTCCTGAATCACGATGTTGATGAGTGGCGTTTCATTTCCCCCGACGACACTGATGCCCAGCTCGACGTACGGGTTGGCCCGGTGGACTTCTATGGCAGTTATCTCTCCTTCAGGAAGTGAGGGCAACTTCACGCAGCCTAATGGGAACGAAAATCACATTACACAGCTACATTTCAGACTCTAATCTCCACAACTGCAACATAATGTTCCTTGAATGTGATTATCCTGCTGTCTAAGATTACAGCACATACACTTATAGGGAAAGTAAGCAGCAATATTTTATATCTCAGACATCTAACACACAGCCCTTTGGGAAGATGCTCAGTAAAACAAAGGAAGTGATGTCATACCCTCTTCGGCAGAGAGAGGCGGGGACTCAGGGCAGTCCCAGCCAGAGGAAGTGGAGCTGACAGAGCGGAGGAGGTGGATGCAGGGATTACTGAGGGGCCGCTTCACCCTGGGGACCACGCACTCCAACCCGACCACACCTGGAGACATGGAGAGATTAAGAGATTAATGCTGTGTCTAAACTTTGTTGACTTCATTGACAAGTTAAATCTCTTCACACTGGGGATCGACTCACTGTCTTCCTCTGTGCTCTCCTCAAAGGCAGGGTTGTCGAGGCCGGCATCGTCCGTCCACATGGGCCCATTGCTGCAGGCGTTATTAGGTCCAGAGGGTGGCGAGGGCGTGCGGTCTCTCAGGTCTGTCTGCGGGGAGCTCGGCGACCTGGGGGGGCTGGTCACCATCGCCCGCTCGTCCCCACTCTCACATCTCGGGCCGTCCACGCTGGTCTGCTGACACCGCGTCCCGGGACACCTTTCACCAAGCAACAGGTGTCAGTTTGTTAGTCCATCTGACGTGTAAAGAAAATCAGGTTCAGCATCAGTTAATTTAATGTGAAGGAATTGATCCATTGAAGGGAATAGTGTGCACAATGCAGGGTCACGGGCTGGGAGGGATTCAGTAATTTTAGTAGGTCCCATTTGAATTATGGCTGAGAGACACTGATCTGTCTCTGATTAGAGACCAGAGAACATTTCTGCATGGCTTCTTTATAGATTCTTTAGATGTGAGGAAGCACCACAGAATAAATAATAATTTATCAGAGGATGTCTGTAGGGGCATGAATATTTATGTGCATATGTGACCATCTGTGTGTTATGTGTATTGCACTGGCTCTGATTTTTTTCTCCCCTGAAACAGTAAATGCAGAAGGTCAAAATCAAATCGATTGAAACAGGATGCAAGACAGAACAGGAATTACCACCATGTGGTTGCATGCCTCCACCAAACAGTGCAGTTTGCACATCGACCTTTGACCACCCAGATCTACTCAGTTCATCCTAGAGTCCAAGTTAACATTGCACCAAACCGCAAGGATTCCCTGGAGGTGTTCCTGAGATATTGTGTTCACAAGGCAAAACTTTGTATTTGTAAGGTCACAGCAAACTTGTCCTTAAGACCTTTGACGACCAAAATCTAAACAGTTTGTCCTTGAGACTTTACGTTTGAGCCAAATTTAAAGAAATTCTCTCAAGGTGTTCCTGACATACTGTTCGCGAGAATGTCATGGAAGGATGACCTCAAACCACAGTGCCTCGTGCCACTGGCTGATGCCAGCACGCAGACATAAAAATCCAGCAAGTTATCAGATTTGAGAGGATAGGACAGAAAATGAATAATACAATATAATATATATGTATATACAGGAGGAAATAATGACAGAAAAGTAGCAGCTTCAGGGTTTTCTTTCTACCAAAACCAAAATAAATCTGGTGGAGGTGGGTGTATCCATCCTGTCCCACAAATAGAAACTCTTAACTGAAGAACAATTAAAAATAAACACAGACAGGCAGACTCAGGGGATCAATGTGGTCTCATCCTTAATAGACTGAAGTAGCTACTCTAAGTGGCAGCCATACGCTGTTTGAATTATTTAAATATCTCTGTTCTCCCTTTCCTTTCCTGTCCCATGATTCTCTGCTCTTGCAAAACAGCAAACACTTGGCTACCAGTGGCCATGTGACCTGCCGTGATTTGCCACTGTGGGTTTTATTTTCTGAATCAGTCATCATTCACATCTATCTTTGACCCACAGACGTCTCCAAGAGGACGGAGAACATTAAGGGGAAAAAGAGAAAACTTTTTAAACAAATACTCGACGGTTTGAGCTCATACGGAGGCTTAAGCTCAACGTCTTCTGTTCAGAAACTGTGCAAGTACAACAGCTCTCACACAGACACACTCGATAATAAGATCAACCTGCCTTTACCACCTCTCGTCCTCTAATCTTATGTCCAGTGTCCCATCCTTAATCTTTACCATAAACAATGTTGTCACACAGCCACAGCAGACTCTTGGCTCCTGTTTCCATTCTCGACCTAAGTCTGCAGAGCAGGGGAACGGCGAGCCCACGAGGGCGACTGAGGTTTAATCTTTGCTAAAGAATGTCACGTTCACAGTGACTTTGTTAGAACTGTCTCAAACCACGTCTCCTCATACTGTATTCCCAACACAACAAGATGTGTGCAAACTGCGCTGAACTGCAGCTAGGAAATACAGACCCTTGTTTCCAATGGTATTTACTTTTAGACAAACAAATGAAACTGAAGAGTTTAGGAACTTAAAACTCAGATTCACTTAAAGTGCATCCATGTAACTTCAGAAAGACGGCGAATAGACTGATGTAGTGACACAGCAGTGAAATAAGTGCAATTGGAAATTTTTCTACTACGGCCTCACTTGGTCTCATGCAGCTTTTTCCAGATGGGAGGTGTTTAAGTATCTTGTCAGAGGCAACAAATTATCGCATTTTGGGGGAAATTATCAAATAACAAAACAACAATATATGTGTATATATATACAGTATATAACCAATAGATAAATTGCTTCTCTTTAAGCAACACTTTCAACAACTATTTGACAGCGCTGACAAATCTAGCCACATGAAAAAAAACATGGTGCAAGCTCCACCTCTGAATAGCTGCCCGTGCCGCCAACACCCTTTGCCAGTCTGCCATTAATGATTGGCTGCAGAGACGTCACGTGAAGAGAGATGCGGAAAAAAACAAACAGACAATTTGTACATATTCACGTATATTATCACAGTAAGCATGCGTATACACAGACAATTTGTTTTAAAGAAACTGATAAAATTGTTGTTAAATGATGAAATGATCGTACATTTTGGCGTTACTGACTGTACAGAGGGCGGACAGAGACCATTAGTAACTGTCACTTCTTTAGCAACAATTAAACATAGTCTCAATTTCAAATTTAGCGACATAGGGGATCTCCATTTAAAACAGCTGACTCAGAAAAGCTTTTAACAGCTTGTTAGCATCAGCTTGTTAGTGTGAGCTTGTTAGGGAAAATCTCCTAGACTTAGCTGAAGTGTTAGGAAGTCACTGGATAACAAGTCAATAAGTTAATGTCAGAACACCAGCGGATGGCTCCTTAGCAACAGACACCATCTTTAGAAGTCGTAGTCGCGCTCAAATCAGTAAATTACTGTAACCCCCATTCCAACTCAACTAAAACACATTTAAACAAAATCTTAACTGAACCATCTCAACCAAGAAAAGTTCAAAATGTATTGTTAAATCTCATAAATACCGATTATGTATCCTCCTCAACTTACACTACCATTATTCATTTAACTACCGAGCAACATCATTTTGGGGATTTCTTTATAGCAATGTTGATGCATAGACAAATACAAACACACACAGACACACACACTGCTCCATGTTTTTGTACAGGACAACAGAGGAAGCTAGAAAGAGAAAGTAAGTAAAGACAGACGCAGCGAAAAGAGGGACAACGTGAGAGCCAAACGCTTTTTCGTTCTCCTGAGTCACGCTGACCTCTCCTCCCGCCGTGTTGGACTCACCACAGGCCAGGGTTGCCCTTGGCCGTCTCACAGAAGAAATGGTTGAAAAGGTCTCTGGTGTTGAAGTTGCTCAGCATGATCGCAGAATGAGAACATGGAGCTCCTGGTCCGTCAACCCATGACTGTGGTAGGGAACCACTAATCCCTCATCACATGACCTACAGCCCAATAATCCCCTCAGGGTCTCACAGCACCTGGTCCAAACGGGCCGAAAGCCAGAGCGTGTGGACGGCGGGAAACCTTTAAGGTTAAGGCCGGTGGGAAAACTGATCTGGACTGAGATTAATGATATCTCCAAATGGTCCTGCCAGAAACAATGAGGAGTGGCTGGTATGGATTTTCGAGTATTAATAAATAATGGGTATTTTCATTATTTATTAATAGTTGACTAATGAAAAATGCTAAATTATTTTTATGTGTACGTTTATAACCAGAGTGGAAGAAGCAAAAAAGCAAATACTTACTCGTATCAATAGA